GAATGCAGTGCCATGCACTGTATTTTTGCTTACTAATAGCGCACCTGCTTAATTAACTGCAATCCGTGCCTATTTAGGCACTGATTGCAATTAATTAATAATTAATTGCACTTAATTAATTATAATTATCATCCTACGTACGATGGAGCTGTTGCGATCGGCGCTACAAATCTATCACTTGTCATTACTGCAGAGTGCAGACACGATCAGAAAATTAATATTCCAAATTAATTGTTCCGAGTCCAGTAACGGTCGATATTAAAATTTTTTCCCCCTGTAAAGTAGAGTTACCATCCTTGATTTTGATGCAATTTCGGTGCCTATCTCACTGTAATCGCATATGCAGACTGTACTTGGTCGGTATCACCTGCCGGTTTGGGCGCAACCTGCTGTTCGTTCTCAGGCGAAATTAAATATCAGAAGTGGAGTAGTTAAAATTGACCGAGAATTCTTATCCCGATTCTCGTAAGTAATCAGTTGCAGTACTTAATTAAATTCTCATCAACGCTAATGAAATTATGGAGCGTAAAACTGTTATGGAAAGTAAGACTGTGGATTTTCTGTCAGTATCTGCTCCCTGGGTCCCCGCATGTTGGGAATAGATGTAAAAACAGGGCTGGAAAACAGATGTAAACTTCTTGCGCTACGACGATTTCTTGGAATGTTTAGACTGCCTTCGGTACAGTCATCATGATTTTCGATTGTACGCGCTGTGTACGAACAGAGCACAGGAAATAGTCTATAAGAAATGTAGAAAGGTTTGCGCCGCTGCCCACAAACCTCACATCAACAGAGAAATTACTGTCGTACAGATACGGGCAGGTGGCAGACGAGCCTGTTGTTGCCGAAGTTTAATCTCGTAAAAAAATCTCAAGGGAACGTTGCATGATAGCGTAAGTACAGATACACTGTACATCCTCACCTTATTTAATTTGAAACTATTAGATTTTTGTTGGTGGTGATAAAAAATGCACGCATAATCTAGGAAAGCATCATGCTGCAATCATGATCAATCGACCACCGTGCTTTTCGTCGGCCGAGTACATAAGGCGCAGTCGTTGCATTTTCGCTTGCACACCGACAGCAGGAAACGCCGGCTTATCCAGTTTGTCGCTGGGAACGGAATTTCTCGCCATAGAATTCCTGATAATACTGGGAAAGCATGGCTGCGTATTTGTTTGACAACATGCCTGGTCATCATTGCAGCGAGCAGCCAGTGGGAGGCATCACTTCCTCCTGCCGAGTTGCTAAAATCCTGTTCATCGGAAGAGCAGTTAGCGGCTGAACAGTGCTTACAATCCATCCACACTCTGCTAATGACAAACACAGAAAAGCTGCAGAAACTGGTAACAGTCTTCGGGGGACCACCCATCGGGAACCCCAACGCGACTATCCCCTCCACTGACGTTGAATTTCTGTTCGGCATCGCCACCAGCAGCTTTACTGATGCCTAATGTTACGCAGTACACGTGTACTGTAAAAGAAAATGTTTGTTAATCCTAAATTCAGAATAAATTTTTTCAGACCGGTGGCTGTCGCGTTGACCTGTACTGAGCTGTTGCCGGCTTTATGTTTTTCATCTGGATTTCCCCCTGCGCTGGTTTCTACATAATCCCCGGATCACAATCAAAGTCCGCGACATTTTCCATCGAATGTGCAGTGTTCCGGGTCTCGACCGACATTTAATCCGGATCGGTGAATGCGCAAAACATTGAGAAACTTCCCCTTTGTTAAAAGCGGTGCCCTTCTGCAAGAAATTCATCGAGCAGCCGGACCACACAAGATCATGTACAACGTTTTCGATTGGCAGTGCTTGTAAATACATGTCCCAATTTTGCTGTACCAATAAGCATGGCCAATGGATAAGAAGCCTGCATTCATTGACACTTACTAGATTACTGCAAATTAATTTTAAAAATTGAAAAATTAAATAAAATAACATACAGTGCAGCCAGCTAATGGCGCCGACTGACGAGTAACCATGTTGCAGAGCGAATCACCGTGCACTGGAACTTATCACTTTGGATCTGGTTAAGACGACGTGCGGCGAGGATGCCGGTATGACGTATTCCGCGTTGCACCCGCTGGCACGAGACATCCTTATCTGTCCCTCTAATTAACGACTATGGTACGCAAGTGGTACAGGATTTTGACAGTAACCGAGAATTACTCTATTTATACAAGCAGGCTAATATTGTGCCGGTAGCATTTTGTACCACCCATAAGAGCGCCCTTACTACAGTTCATCATTTCATAGCGGTATGAATATTCTGGCGTTTTTACCGGCTAGCTGTCTCTCTCTGAAATCTGGAATTCACTCTCGTACAACATTTTGACAGATTGCGCTGACATCCTTGCTGACAACGGTGCTTAGTATCCTGTATGCTGTGACATTACACATGCCGTGACCTTCCGCTGTTGCGTTCGAGCGCTGGGGATGCACCAGCGCTATCCCAATGGGAGGACACCTGAACGACTTTATTGCGAGCGTCCTCAGCGCATCGTTGCCGGCCGAGACACCTTTTATAACAACAGCCGCATAGTCGAGGTATAGGCACAACGCCGAACAGTAACAGAATTTTACTTACAAGACTGTCCGGAATGTGAATAATGTGAATGTATGTATCCGTGAAGTAGCACATCATGCAAGAGTGCCTAATGCAAGAGCGCCTAATGCAAGAGTTATGTCATCCCCATCGTTGTAGACGTTAAGCTGTATAAAGGAACAAACAAACAGCAAAAAGGGAAAAGATTCGTCCATGACACCAAGCCGATTGTTTTCATGGCACTCTATCATTTCGGCCACCATTCATTTCGGCTACCATTCATTTCGGCTGCCTTTCATTTCGGCTATCATAGATCTGGTTACCGCGTTCGATTTTTAGCTTACATGTACAGTACATAGTCTATGACTCTTTTGTAAGGCTAGCCAAGGTACTCAAGCAATGAGCATTAGGAAAAATTTAAGAAACCTAAGAATACCTAAGAAAACCTAAGAATAACCTAAGAATAACCAAGAAACAAGAATAACCTAAGAAACCTAAGAATAAGCTGAATAACCTAAGAAACCTGAGAAAACGTAAGCAAATCGAACGCGGTAACCGGATCTATAATGGCCGAAATGAATGGCAGCCGAAATGAATGGTGGCCGAAATGAATGGTGGCCGAAATAAATGAATGGACACGATCTATCGGAAGGCCAAACACTAATAAAAAAAACAAACCCTACAACGGAGCGATATCAAATACGGTGGACTGCAAAATGGTGGTCCTTAACTTATTAACCGTTTACATGACGCTGTTGAGTATCGACTGTGCAGGATGCTGCCACCAAAGTCCACTAGATGTACATGCAATAATGTCATTGGTAGTGGTACTGGTAGTATCTGTATGTGATGTAGTAGTACTGGTCACGCTAGGAAATTATGGTGTCGCATATCGCAACTGCAACCTAATATAGTGCCGGTTGTTGAACTCTGCACACACTACACAGTAAGCAAAAAACATATCACTTTAGAGTCCGTAAAGTTCTTTATCAGATTACGTGTTTCCAAAAGTCAGCGTTAGTTTTTTCGCCTTAAAATCGTGTAACAGGCATAACATCGGGAAGTCACTTTCGGGACTTTACTGTAACAATGAAAGACCAAGATCCAGCTGGCCTTATGTGCGTAATATAATATTTTTCGCAAACAATGAATTCGTGTTTGGGTACACCCAAGTTTTCCTAATTTATTGCGATGTTATTCTACCTGCATGCAAATAATCGAAATTTTGCTGAGAGACGAACGGGTGAGTGCAAAATAAAGTAATACTGTATATACAGGGGTGCCGCGCCAAGTTTGGGCAGTTGCGTAAAATTATTGTTAAAAAATTACCGAATGCAATTCTGTTTCCTTTTTTGTTTTTTCTGGTACAACATTTAATTGCGAATCGAGGAGTGTCCAAGATAAAATCGTTTAATACGACAATAAGGGGCGAGGCGAGAGTTTAGGGGAAAGGGTAGTGGTCATTCTGCTGACGCTTATAACTGCACCTCTGAAAAATGTACTAACTGACATTTCTGGTTGGAAGTTTTTGAGAACTGTTCGGTGACCCAGAAGGTGTCCGTCAGGGGTTAGCAGACGGAACTTGCGCCATCACTGCTCGGGTAGCCTCGAAACAAGACGCATCTCCCATAGACCTGTACATATGTTAAGAAGCACCTTCAGAGAAATGCGGTTGCCAAGAGTACTGATGCCATCAAACAAGATGTCATTGCTTAAAAGAGAAGCAAGAGGTTCCGTTAGTTGACCATGCCATCGTTTAAAGCTTTTCAGCCTTCTCTGATTTTTAAACACTTGTCGAATTAACTTGATTATTTCATAGTAAGCAGTGCGATTTTTGAACAAAAAATCAAATAAGAAATTCGGCTCTCGTGCCCTGAGCTTGATCATTCTGCATGGCAACGAAATTACCGAAGGTGCGACAGACCAAGCACTATCACGCAAAAGTTCAAAAAAATTGTAGGCTTCACTGGTAAAAGAAGAGAAATTTTTTTAACTGCCCAAACTTGGCGCGGCACCCCTGTAATAACATTGATAAAACCCTAATGTACGCAACGGCTACGCAAAGTGCCGCTTTCAATACTTTGTACATGTACAATATACTCATTGTCATGGCAACCATTCAAAATACTCAGTTTCCGATGAAGCGAAAAACGAGATCGCGCTTTTTATCGCATCAGATTTTAAGTACGATTACCTTACAGTTTCTACTAATACGAGTTTCTACCTTTCTCGTACGGTATGTACTGCCTACATTATTATGTACTGACGTGCGGTATGTACGTATAATTATACGGTATGTACTGGCCTATGGATTTAATTTCCAGGTTATCAGAATTATAGTTACTAAGCATTTTAGAATTTGGAGACGAAAAGGTGCTTTAGTAACTAAGGCAATTTTTTTGCCTCCAGGTTCTAAAAAATCTCAATTTCTTCAAAATACAGTGATTTCTTCAGTAAAAGCATACTGCCGTGGTGTGCCAAAAATATCTTTATCTGTAAAGGTCAAAAGCGCGTGTCCTGTGCCCGATAAAAATGAATACACAATACTAAAGAATACTAACGCGCGTGGCGGAACACACATCGCCGCTTGTTTTTATGCTTTGATTCTCTTGCACCACTGTCTTATTGTACCGTTAAAGATTTGGCGTTCGCTACGTAGGCAATTTTACGGACTACGAAAAAATGAGCCATGCTTGTTAACTATGGTTTTAAATGAAATTACGCAAAATCGTGACTTTTCTTTTCCTTTTTTTATTGTATTCCAGTAATTCCAAATTTCCAACTGTTTTATGCAGAATATGACTTTGTGTTTATTGAAAAATTTGGTGTTGCAGGCCCGGGTGAGTTATAGGATCGCGCATTTTGTGAGTTTTCTAAAAAAATTAAAACATTTCTAAAAAAATTGCTACCTTATTTATTTATTCGAAAGTGCTATGCGCCCCAAAATTTTAGGGCCTATAGTTAATTCGCTATGCGCCCCAAAAATTGCAGTTACAATTTTTTCGTTTCAGTGTTAACCTTTTTTGTTACTTCTCTATACGTGTAATTTTTATTCTCTATTAGTAAAAAACTTAATTTTGACGTCGCACTTTGCTTTTGGAATTTGTTGCACTGTTTTCGAGTTTTCCGCGAAATCTGCTGCATTTTTTGTTTTAATGTTTTTAAATCGTAGTTGATATCTGTAGTTCATTTCGCATTCATGCCAATATTAACCGAACTTTAGCCGATAACTTTCGTTTTACGCGAATTAGCACCAATTTATTTTGCGGTTATCATGATTTATGGTTTTCTGCGATTAGCTTTTTCGTGGTTATTTTGGACGCGCTTCTGACTCCGACGCGTGCTTCTGTAATTATTCAGCGTCAGTGATCTCGTTGAGCTACTGCCTCATCAACAGAGGGTGTTTCAGCCAAGCGTCTGCAGGCTTTCGGAAATTATTGAAGCGATCTCCGCACCGATTTTTGGTTCGCCAACCATTCTATCTAAAAGCGCAGTTGTCCTACTGTCCACTTTATTGGTTCTCGCCAAACCTAAACTGACCTGGAAGACACAGGAATCTTAAACTAGACTAGCCCTTCAATTAAACTAGATTTGACCAACTAAGGGTACGCAATAAATGACGCAGCGGTAAGTCATGCACTCTTTCAACATAAATTTTGATTTATTTTGTGATTTGCGCATGCATAATACAAAACTTTAACGTAGAGATTGTGTCAATGCTGGTAATCGCGGAAAAAGGAACGGATTTGTCGGTTTTGTTCAACAAAAAAATAGGGGATTATAATTACCCCGTGTACAAATAAACCCGGCAATTTGTTAAATAATCGCAGAACATTGCAATTTTCTCGCTTTATATCTGATTAACTAAGAGATAAAGCAATAATTTCATAACTGTGAATTAAAAAAGCCATAACAATTATTTACATTTTTTGCATCATAGTGCCGCAGTGCATTGTGCGAGTACAAGACCTTAGTCTTGTTGCAGTACTTGCTTGGTAATGGTCTGCATCACGTTTAAGGCACCATTACGGATTCGTTCCTACCTGTGTTGACGTACTATAATACTAAAAAATACTGAAATTTTCGTTTAGACATAAAATTTTGGGGCGCACAACAAATCGGCTAAGCGCCTTAAAATTTTGGGACGCATAGAAGGGACCTTATTTATTACCCTATTTATTTCACAGCTACAGCTATAAATTTTTTTTTGACAAGCTGCTATATGAAATGCTTGTTCAACTAGCAAGTTTAAGAAGTGTCTAAAATACAGAAACGTTTTTTTTTCAAATTAAATCCTTACGCACGAACAACAATTTATAATTATTAACATTTCTCCGTGTAGATTTCACGAGAATTTAATGCGTGTAGCTTCAGTTCTTTCGTTTCTTGACCGAACATGGTTTCTAAAATTTCGAAATGCAGACTCTTCATGGCAGAGTGCCGGCTTTACTTCCCACGTCCAACTCAACGATAACTTCGTATGCGATCAACCTGCAGTTGAAACTCAGCTGAATCTGTTTGATGTGTACAGTACAACATATTGCGCGTTTCGGATAACTATTTTGTTGTAGTTGATAGTCCTTTACGAGTATAACTGCCTGCGAAACTGACGCCGGTCGTTAATTTTCAGTTGCAGCTAAAAGCGAAGGCTAAAGGCTTCATGGTTTCATGGCGAAGGCTTCATGGCGAAGCCTAAAAAACCCTCAGATTCTGGCTGCCTGCCGGCAGCCGCCCTGTCCCAACGGTCAGCCATATGGGCTGCCGTGCCGCCATCACCCGCGCCCGTAATGGCCACGCCACCGCCGCGCATCCGGCTGATCGGGATGATCCCGAAGGGCCCTTGCAAAGGGCCCGCAATGGCGCGTATTCTCCGCAATGGACGTGCTAAACAGCCAAGGCCACCGACTCTGCCCGGCGGCCATGATCCGCCGTTCCCCCGTCTGGATGGAGCTGCTCAAGGTGCGTGTTTGGGGCCGGTGGGCTCTCTTATGGATAGATTTTTGCCGCAGTATTCCCCAGCCCGTCAGAATAGATCGTCTGCTAATTCGCCTCGTACTGCGCCAAAGTAGCTGTACAGAGAGCGTAGTCACGGCAGACTAGCCATCGACTAAGTATTTCACTCTTTTTAACGCACCTTTTGTTACGAGAAACCTGAGCCAGTGAACCACTGAGGGTTAATAAACTCCCGCACTCAAAAGCTCTAATTCAGAAATCTCTAGACGTACCCGAGTGCTTCAAAAAAGGTCAGTTCCATTCTAACTAGTGTTACATAAAACTTCCCCCAATAGAAGATTATATTGAGAAAAATGCCTTTATTGGATTTGTTGCTTTTTATGGTGCTGTCCACCAAACTCAAGGCTAATAAATAATCACTTAAAGAAAAAGCATGGAAATTGTTTTATCTATATGTCCACAAAAACCAGAAGGGCACACGTATGCGAACGTGAACAAATTTCTTCCCTTTAAAGTTCAATCCACTGTTCTACGGCTTTGCTAAACCTCTCCAAAATCAAATGTCAGGAATTTATGCCATTTTAAAGTTTTTAATCATGCAGATCAAACTGACTAATACCAGTGTTATTTTTCGACTGCCACTATAAATTCTTGGAAAAGGAATTATCAAACTGTGTATACGAGGAAGTTGGCAATAAATGTACAACTGAATACATAATTAGTTTTTTTCTTGAAATTTTAATTCAGAAACTGATTAACAGTTGTACAATTCAAATGTTCATTCCCGCTGCAGAAATTCCGGTTTCGGTGGGAAACTCCCGTAAACCGCCGGCGAAAAAGAAGCGTAAACGCTCGCAACCCATGAAGGATTCATCTTCCGCGGCGAAACGACCCCGCACCCGCCCACCGGTCCCAAAAGCTGTCGCCATCATGGCCATGACACTTCCCGCAAAGTCAACGAGCAACGCCGAATCTCGGGCGGCCAATGCGTCACTTTCGCCGGAGGATTCGGAAAAACCGGTGTCCGAAGAGGAGGACGGTAATAATGAGGTGACTTATTTTTTTAAAAAATGCTTTGTATAAAGTTTAACGATAATTTTGGTTTAAACGTTGACCGTTTTCTCACTTTTCTGTGTTTTTTGAAATACATATACTTCCTTTTACATGTGGATTATCCATACTTATTTTAGAAGCGGATCTCTTGATTCCTGCCGGCGCTAACCTCTTCTTCACGATTAATTTTGCATTTTATGATATTTTGCCAATCAGCGATGTACATGTATTATTTTACAGTCGACACAGGATCTCGAACGAGGAGCCGGAGTTGAAAGCGCGTCGGCCAGTATGAAGGTAAGTTCACGGTATTACTGCGCAATAACTCAGAAATATCATTCTTAATAATATCTGTTACCTTACCTTCGATGAAATTACATATAGTACCATGCAGAACCAATTTAATGATTAATTGTGTACAGACTGTACTACTAGTTTATTGATTGAAAAGTAACGAAAACACTCTGGTGCTCCACTGCGTTTGCTACAAGGCTTCTGAGATGCAGATGCGAGAAAGGTATCTTTGTAGATGGCCACATCACCGGAAGACACGAACCGGCAGGTGGTGCACACTGACAGGGCGCCGGAAAACGTGTGCGACCATGGGAACGACCATGGGAACACGCCGGTAAGCGGCTCGGGAACGCCTCCTCCCGCAGCATCATCCATCGTCAACGAGTACATCACCGCGAACGCAGAGCCCGTGGCTCCCACCAGCCCCAGGGGAGTGGATATAGTCGCGGCGACTCAAGGGTCATCCCTGGCTGGATTGGGAGTGGCAGGAGGTGCCGTCGGCAGTGGTCGGTTACCGGCAGAGCCAGTACAGCCGGCGACAGATGCGTTTCCGTTCGGGATTGTCATTCACGGATTGTGTAGGTTTCGCTGCCTGTATGCATATGGAATACTGGTACACTGACTCCGCGATCCACGCCGGTTTTGTAGATTCGGACGATGGATTGGCGAAGCGCGTGCTGGCATTCTTCAGCGCACGCGGCACTGTCGTACGTTTTCGTCCTATTTCGCTGAGGTGCCGGGAAGATCAACGGCGTAGTGGAAAGTACAAAACTCTGTACAACCAGCGGGTATTTGTTGTCATGCGGGAGCCGTTCGACTATAAGGCGGCCGGGGATGAGTTCAAGTAAGTCGCTGTGGGGTTCACCGGTTCAATGATAAGCGGCCATCATTTTGTTGGCGCACCGACAATCTTGCTGACTGGCTAAATGTTTACCCGACAATTCTTGCTGAAGCGAGTACTCGAAGATTGATCAGGTTGCTGAACGCAAATTAATGTGCTGAACATGACATTTCCCTTACGACATTTTCATGACATAAGAAAAAATTACAAAGTGCGAGCAAACATAAGAATAACATAAGATCAACATAAGAAATTTAAGGAAAATACTGAGAAATTAACATAAAGCGATTCTAAGCATTCTAAGAAGTCCAAACGAGACACTAAGAAAATCAAGAAGCGAAAGAAAAATTGCCAAGAAAACAAAAAATGGATAAACATCATAAACCTGACTAATAAGCCACCTGTCGGTTAACCAAATTGTTGCTGCCAAATGTCAGGCAGTAAAATTATAGAAATTGTAGGTCAGTAATCTGTCGATCAGCAAACTTTCGGAAGCAGAACGGAGTTCACCGAATTGGCATTTTGTTGCCATTACAGAGCCACTAAGGGAGAAAGGGTAGATTGGAAACGTGCCCACGATCCCCATTCCGACCGAGAGCGGAACAGGCCCAGCGGAGCACAGCAGCCGTTTATACTTTCGTAGGTGGCGTCGCGTTATTAGGTAGAACGGACAGACGGTGTGTTTCTACAGAATGATGGTGTTTTGACAGTAAGCGCCGCCAAAGGGGTATCAAGTACCTGGCTGCGAAATTTCAACGAAGGGCGACTGCATACCCACCGGTTGTCGCTGAACACCGTCCGCCGCCTGTAAGTCTTTCCTTGCGCTGCAGCCATCTCGTCGACTCTTGCTAGACTGTGGTTGGTTTGCCCCCTAACAGATGCCGCCCGTACTCCCTCCTCCACCACCGGTGTGTAGCCCACCAGCTCCCATGCAGCAACAATTCAAGACGCCGAGTGCGTTTCCTTTTCGACCACCGGCACATGGTCCACCCGTTGCCATGCAGGAGCCGTACCATATGCCGCCATATTGTCAACCGCTTCCTCATCCGCCTCCACCACGACCGTTCCTACCGCCACCACCACAGTACACCGCATACGGGCCGCGTGTCAGCGAGATTTCAGTAAGCCTGTTTTAACAGCAACTCGACAAGTTTTCATTATTTCTATCCCACGACGTTAGGCAGTTCGGTTTAATGGAGATATTTTAGCAGGCTACTGGAAATTGTTTTTGGTTAATATAGAAATTTTGTATTTTTTGTCGTTCGATTTTATGGGATAAAAGTTACTAGATCGAGAAATCAGACACAGGACACACAATCTCACAAGCGTACACCAAACGGTTACAAAAGTTATTGAATGTGTGGTTATTATTATCTAAGTATGAGCGTACCGCATATCTGTACATACAAACGAGTCGCGCTTTGCAGGTTCATGTGCGATACCGATACTACTGATCAGGGTAGCGACGAAGTACCCCATGGGCTGCCTGCTTGTTGATTGTAACCGGAGGGTGCTTCGGCCGATAGCTCGCTAAGTTTGCTTCTTTATATGACGCTGATACCGTTCTCCTTGTTTTCATCCTCTTAGCAATGCTAGTGATCATTTGTTGTGCAAAATTGTTTCCTCAGTTGAGCTTGTTACGCGTTCTTTCTTGACTATATAGTACAATGTCAGAATCCCGGATCAATGAACAGTACTCCACTTTGTTTTCTAATTCGTTGTTGATATGCGGAGCCGAATGGCGGGCGAGCACTAGTTGCAAACAAAATTGCCGTTATTTATTAAAGCACGCTGCCCCTTCCGCACGCCCATTGAGAGCCCCAGTGTAGGTGAATAAGTGAAGAACTGCATTTTCGGGCTATGGTAATACAGGCGGGGGCAACCGGTAGGCTTGCCGTTCAGTTGTTCGACTATACTTCCAGTCGACGATGGCTTGGCAAGCGATAAAAACTTGAGCCTGACAACTGGCAACTGACAAACGATAGATCCTGGCATGATGCTGACAAAAATATAGCATTGCTTCATAGAATATCCAAGTTAGGACATTTGGTTCCATAGGAATGGACCAATAGACCACGACACGGATGATTAATCAGGTTCTGTTTCATTGTTACCGAGTAAAACAATCTCTAATGCCAAATGGCTCATGTGAACCACTGGAACCACCATGGAACCACACGTGAACCAGATGGCCCTATGTACCCACCATATACGCACGTTTACATAGATACATGCCGTCAATTTGCCGACCTACAACTCGCTGCCCAACAATGTGCTGACCGACATGCTGTTGACTTACACAACTCGCTGATCGACAAATTGTTGACCGACAATTTGCTTTCATGCTAAATTGTTGACCGACGTTTTGTGGAAATATTTTAGCTGACCGGCAATTTGCTTTTCGGTTCGATGCGCTGATTTTTGAGTTTTTCTAATTTCTTGTTGCTTTTTCTTAGGTTTCTTAGGTTTCTCATGTCAGCAAAATGTCGTCAGCGAGTTGTCGGTGTTCAAAAAAAGTCGTTCAGCAAAATGTCGTATATGCGTACAGACACGCAGATTCGTAACTATGAGAACCACATACGCCCTTTTGCAGACACGCTGTCGCATTACCTATGTACCCTGTGAACCCATGGAAAGAATCACATTTCCTCTATACCTCGTGATGTATTGGATTATGTTTCTGGTGATAACGCAAACATAACGACCTGAAATCTGATACAGTATGTGAAAAGTGAAAACTGCCTACAATGCCATTTGTGTGGTCACTGTGGTGTATTATCGCTCTGCACATCAAAATGATAATCATGACTACATAGCAGGCCTAAGCAGGGTACAATATGTAGATTGCCGGCGACGACGACGTGCTTTAAGTATGCAAAGGGCGTCTACGTCATCGAACAAGATTTCTTACTTGCGCCTAAATACAGAATGCTGCTCGTATTTGCAATTATTCAGGTGTCTCCCATTAGGGCAACAGCGATGCATCCCCAGCGGACGGAAGCAAGCTCAAGGCATATTTATTGACATGGCATACAGCATTCCATGCACGGTTGTCAGCAAGGCTTAGGCATTAAAATGAAGTACTAGACTGAACTTTAGAATTTCCATAGAGAGACAGTTAAGACCGGCAAAACTTTCAGCTATTTATAACACGATTATGTATTGTGGATTATGTACAGAGTATAACTGGGTGATACAAAATGCTACCGCCACAGCTACTGTCAACCGCTCGGTTACAAGCAATGTAAATGGTTAACAATGCACTCCGACGACACCTTCCGTCCGCTAATCTTTTATTACTCTGAACACAGAAGTACGTCTCGCACCAGCGAATTGATTGCCGTGAAATACGTAGTACCGGCGTCCACGCCACACGTCGTCGTAACCAGATCCAGGTTCATGATTTCCAGTTGACGGCGATGCGCTCTGCAACATGTTCACTCCTCAGTCGGGACCATTATTCTGCTACGTACACTGGATCTTTCTGTGTTTATTTTTATAATTTTTAAAATTAATTTGAAGTGTTCTGATTAATGTCAATTAAACCAGGCTTATTCATTGGGCGCAGACAATTGGTTATCACGAGAACTGGTTATTCCGGTTCCGTAGTGATTATGGAACTTTTTGATGTATATAGTAAAAAGTTAGGGTATACGAAGGAAAACTGTTCACAAAATTTGCTATAAACATGCTGTTCTGAGTGCGGGGTGAATTTTCTCGGGAATGCGGGTGACGAGTAATTTGGCAACAGCCAGTTCTCGAAGCAATTAGTTTACGCTACATGGAGAACCCGGAAATTAAAATAAAACCAGGCACAATTTGGACATGCATTTACCGGCATTCCCAATCAAAATCGTCGTACGAGGCAATTGGTTGGGGTGGTCCGACTGCACGAGACATTTCCTCCCACAGGCTACCGTTTTGCACCAGAGGGAGGTTGTCCAGTGCTGTTGCGCATTCACCAATCCGAATTAAATGTTGGTCGAGATGCGGAACACTGCACATTCGACGGAAAATGTCGCTGACACTGCTTGTGATCCGGGGGTTCAGTAGAACCCATCGCACTTTCTCTGGCAAATCCAGATGGGAAAAGCATGGACGCGGCAGCTGTTCAATACAGGTAAACGCGACAGCCAACGGACTAAACAATAAACAAATCCATTTTGCATTTATGGTAGTATTGGGTAGTAAAAGTCCTTGCCAATATACTCATTTTTACTATCTGCTTTTGAAAGTTTAACTTATTTTTACTTAATATTCAAAATTTTTCGGGACATTTACTTGCTTTTACTTTTTATTTCAATTTTCCCAAGGACATTTACTTACTAAATTAAAGTAAATTTACTAAATAAATGTAATTCAGCATTGAAAGTTTCGAATTGCGTTAGTTTCAAAGCCAAACAGACTACTGAAAATTGTGCAGATAAGTTTCTTATTCATTAATCGAGCTATACAGGTGCTGAGGTGCATATTGAAAAGTCAATACTGCTGCTTTTGAGGGCGGCAGGCGGGCAAGCCTACTACAGAGCACACTCACTTCACCTGCGAGTGGCGGCGGCTGACACGCCAATTTTCCGTAACGCTGACAAACGAATTAATAAATAATTTAGTAAATAATTTTTATTTATTCAACGCTGAACCTTAATATTTACTTACTTTTTACTATTCCGTCAGCCCATTTACTTTGTTTCCAAAACCTTACTATTTACTAGACTTTTAATATTAGGCGGACTTTTACTAAGTAAATGGCCGTTATTTAATTTTATTTAGTAGCAGTGTAGCACAGCACTAATTTAGGCTAAACCAGATATTGTCTTATACAGTAAGCAATACGTAACAAGCGGCATCGGTAAAGTTCCTAACGGCAGTGTAGAATTACCCGCACAAAAATTCAGCGACAACGGACATGGTGGTCGCGCTGGGGTTCCCCGGTGGCTGTTCCTCCGAAGACTGTTCGCAGCTTTTGCACCTTTTTCTATTCTTCATTAGCAGAGTGTCGATGGATTGTAAGCACTGTTGAGCCGATGTCTGCTCGTCCGTTGTACAGTTGTTTGGCAGCTTCGCGAGGGACGGCGATGCCGCCCGCTGGCTGCTGGCTACGACGATGACCAGGCATGCTGTCAAGCAAATACGCAGAGCCATAGCTTTCCAGTGTCATCAGGAATTCTATGGCCATAAAACTGGTTTGCAGCAACGGACTGGATTAGCAAGCGTTTTATGCTGTCGGTGTACAAAGCGAGTGAACATGCAGCTACTGCGTCTTATGCACGACTACTCGTAGCCGAAGGTAGGCACGGTTGTCGATTGATCATGATTGCGGCTTCCTCGATTATGCGTGTCGCGTGATTTCTTTATCACAGCCAAGAGATCGTACATTAGTTTCAGAATAACTACATTGGCGATGTACGGTGTATCTGTGCTTACACTACCATGCAACGTTCCTTTGACTGTTTTTACTAGAGTAGATTTAACTTAGCAACAACAAGCCGTCGTCGCGACAACAGAAATTTTACCGCTGATGTGACGTTTGTGGGCAGCGGCACAAAACTTGGTACCATTTGTTACGGACTGTTTCCTGCCGAACTTTTATCGCAGTTTCCAACGGACAGTTAGAGAAATGATTTCGTACCTACGAGGAGGGAACAAGCATCTTCGGTAGGGCGTTCGAATAGTCAAGACACTTTGAACACTGGTGTCGCCGTAAATCTGACATGTTCACTTTGAACACTGGTGTCGCCGTAAATCTGTTCGCTTTGGCGGTATGACGTTGGTGAAGTCCGTCGCTTTTCTTAAGGGTGACCTCGCAAACCGTTTCAATCAATAGCAAGCAGATACCTTCAGATGGAATTTGAAAATTCGTACTAGTTCTTCACTCATCCGATAATGCCTTAGACTACTTTCTTACGCTCCTTCAGCAATTCTGAAATAAATTTAGGTAGGATAACGCTTTACTGACGCTTGTGGCAGCTTTGACAGATCATCGATTACATAGAATTTTAATCTCGGATTGGCGGTAAGGGTACACGGCAAAAGCGCCTGATGAATACTTTTGTTCTGCCAACGCATTTTTATAAGTACTTCCGATTAAATTACAACGCATTTTTTGCTATTGTGTGCACACAATCAGTTTGGTGGCATTGCAACGCAGAATCGGTTAGACGAAAGGGAAGAGCAGTACAAGAAAAGCTCTTCGCCCTTTCCTGAACAATTTTTTAGAAAACAGTTTCCAAAATCAATAACAATTTGCAACTATTTTAGAAATTCTAAACTTTGATCAAACTTAAGAAAAATTATTTTCAAAAAGAACTGTGAAGCGCCTTTTGTGGCAAATGTTTGCGCATCTCGTTTAGAACAAATAAAAGTAATTTCTGTTGTGGGGTAATTGTATTTTCTCCGGGTAGGGTAGGTTTGTTAAAGATAAACGTTCCACAAAATTTTGGCCATTTGAACTAATCACAGCGTCGTGCTTGGACATAATTCTTTAAAATGCTGTGATTGCTATTACTTTTGCAAAACAACGACTTTCAAATACCAACCATTACGCTTTAAAATAATTTATTGGAGTTCACACTTTCAACACATATTATAGTGAAAATATCGGTATGCTATCTGAAATGCGCGGTTATGATGCAGCAGAAGCGCACGTATTGTACCCCATGCCGCTGCTAGCGGCGCGAAGGAGCACATGATACACCCGGCAGCCAGCACCCCTGCTCCGCACATCAGCGAGCGTTTGACCCCGACCCACCGGATCAGTGTATTGGTTAGCAGCGTCCCGATCAATGCGCCGACGCACAGCAAGGAGGAGAACAGCGCCCACAGGGTGTTCAGTTCCGTGTTCTCGCTCAGCACCCGCGCTTTCTCCTCCGCCGGGATAGCGTTGCACCACAACGCCAGGGCGGGGCCGTTGGTGGTGTTGGTGATATTGCCAACGGTGTAGTTGCCGCGGAAGGTGCCGCCGAAACGCTGACATTTCACGGAGCGGATCCAATTTTGGACAATAAACTGCGGAACGTTCAGGGCCGACATGCTGAGACCGTGCGGGAACCACGTCCCGATGGTGGCGGCCAGAAGGGCTAAGCCCAGACGGAAAGTGAGGTGGCTGTGCTCCAACATGGTGACTTTGTTCCGGTTGCTGGTTGGCAGCCGATTGGCGTGTCTGTAATTTATGGAGATGCCGAAATTTATGTGTTGTCGGAAGCAGACACTAATGCCGTGATGCGTTAACAGTAAATTTAAGCTTGACTGTTTTAACTGAAAATGCCTTCAGGTGATATTACCACAGCGATTTCTCCGTTGCAAAATTCTGAAAAATTATCTAGAAAATATAGGTGCTGGATTATCACTTGCTATTCACGTGAAACCTTAATTATACAGTACAAGTTGACTGCAGATCATTTTCATGGAATCGCTGTTCAATCGCATCAGTAGAGGCCAACTGCAACTTGCAGAAAAATTAAAACGCTTCATATGCAGCCGGCTGCCAAAACTTAATGTCATTTTAAGCGGGACAAGACCATCAGTTCAATTAATGCTTTTATGGTAATAGTTATTATGTACTGTACTTTTACAGCGCTCACACAGTCCACGTAATCATGTACACAGCTTTTACATGCGAAGCAGCGGTAAAAAAAAAGTATTAATTCTCTTTTAATAATCCACGCCAAATTCTTTTGCGGTTCCTTGATATTCTAGATTATGTTTAGCGTCAGCCCATGGCTAATGTAGAGCGGTTATGGAATTTGAAAGTATCAAACTTGAGCCGTGCATTAAAGTTGATTAATATTATATTCTCAGAGGTACTGGAACTATGAACTGGTAAAATGATATAGAATCATAGATACACATACATGCTGATATTCTGCTGAATAATCAACTCAGTAATATTGCGTCTACTGGCACTCAAGGCATCTTTAAACAAATTCTTCCACTCAGTAGTATTTAGATCCGGTGAATCTTTCTGGTCCAGCTGAAGGATGACGACAGCGTAGGTCAGAATTAACCCAACAACCTGCCCATACAACGTATTAATGCTATGATACTAGGCTTCAACTTAGTGCGTATACTGTACTTCAAAGAAAATTAAGTGAATAAACGTCGTATCCTTAAATATTAGTGGAAATACTTAATAATTTTATGTACAGATAAAATGAAGGTGCGATTAGTGGCAATAATGCCGCCAAGGCTAAAGGTCATCGGCGTGGTTTCCATCTGATATAGCTGCATGAATAAATCCATCCGGCGCGTTGCTGACATTTCCGTTCGAGCCACCGTATGCATTACAGGGACAGCGGAATTCGCCTAAAAATTTATGCAACCAACCAAATATAAAAATGCAACCAAATATGAAAATTATTACTGACGACATCAGCGTTATATTTATGGGCATTTTCTGAATGTTGCCGTTAACCAAACGTTTTAGTTACACTGTTATGCATGTACATCGACTAATACGTACGCCAAGTGTGACAAGCATTGAACTATTTTCGTAAACGAAAATAAATCATACTGTCATTGGCTGTTTTAATTAATCCAGCCGTAATTACCTGCTCGCTAGTATAAATCAGCGCAAACGTCCGCATGACCATAAACGCAAAGATAACCAGCGACGCGGTAATGTTCGGTACATAAGCGATATACTCCGGATTCATTCGATCCTCTTTATGACAACCAATAAAATACAGCAGACACACCAGATCATTGACATACAACGCCAGCGTCAGATACGTGATCTTATGCTCCAGCGACAATACCAGCGCATTCAAATTTGCATGCTCCTCCAGCAACCGGTCCACCTCCTCCCCGCCACCCGCCCGCATCCGGTCACTCAAGTGGGTATAACACACCCCCAGCACCAACCAGATGACGATAAAGCACGAATGACTGATGAATAACGAACACTGGTTGATCTGGTCGATGATGAAGATGCCGCGGGCCAACGCCCGCAGTCCGGTGTAGGAGGAGTCCCCGCATACCGACAGGAGGTTGGTGACAAAATCATTCTCCATCTGTTTCACCGGGATATAGATGGCGTCCACCACGCGGGTAATGGTGATAGCGGTTTGGACGATGCTCAACGCCAGGAGGACGCGTTGGAAGCGGCGGCGTTCGGGGGGGTTTAAGTAGGTCGATGTGAAGTGATGGGATTGCAGGAGGAAGAGGTGGAGTCCCCGAAAGAGATGGATGTAGTACGGGATGCCGATTAAAAGGACGATATGTATCGTGATACGGCAGGCTTGCCGGACCATGTCGCTGGTGCTGTTGGATTGGGATTTGATGACCGCGGGAATGACAGTGACCGAGAAGAGCAGCACGACCCCGATGACGAAGACGGAGGACCACAGCAGACCGAGGATGTCCAAAATGATGCGTAGCAGACGCTGGTATGGTGGACTAACAAAAGAAAATTTGCCGGTGGATGACAATGGATGAAACCCGGTTATTTTCAGTATAAGAAACCAGGGTCGTAATAAGGAAGCTAAGAAGGAAGGACCCGGTGGGAGAGACTCGGGGACGTCGTCCTTTGGTGATTGGCTGGACGATGCGCTGCTGTCCATTTGGGCCAGTTGTATACTGCTTCCTGACTCATGCATAATGTTAACTGAAAATTTCCGACTTATTTGTGTTCTTGGTATGGGCGGTGTCTTCGGAAATGGCGCCGATTTTCTACGCCGGTAGCTTGATCTTTAATTGAAAAGTTTGAATCGGTGTGGTCGATACTTCTACTGGTACAAACAACGTTCTGCCTGGAAGTGGAGAAGAAGGATAATGTTTTGACATATACATCTATCGTTCAGAGCGCACACATCCGTTCCCTAGAGCCCTTGGTATGTTCTGTAAATTAATATTCCAGTGGGACTGCGGAACGGCAAACTGCAATGTAATCGGTTCGGTGCTGCTTACATTGTACCGCTGCATAGGATTGCTTTCCATCTGGATCGATTATGTCTGGCTTGCCGGATTTTTATTACAAATTTTTCGTCATTTTTTATTACAAATTTTTCACCGGATTTTTATTACAAATTATTGTTTTGGGGCCCTTTCAGCCTCATAAGCAGGTTATTTTATTTCAACATACTTTTATTATTATAAAATTCAACATACTTTTATTATTATAGAATTCTGCATTTTTACAGCACTTTGCTTGCTCGCACAAATGCACCTGATCAGAGACCATCTAATGTATATTTAGCCGGACGGTTTAAATAAATCGTGCACTTGACTAACAGTTAACCCATTCTTGCTATCTTCCTGCAGTCCACACGGACGCTGCCTCCAGTGGCCGATATTGTGCAACCATTTAATGGTCACCCATTTCGTTCCCAACAGCACTGGACAACCGGCATGTAATGTCCGTCCATCTGGAATCCCATCCTTATACTGATTATACCACAGCACCGCGCCGTTCTTCACCGCCGGGACGGTTAGATCCAACAGGGGAAAGATAGTGGCTCCACCGTGTTCCACATCGTTCAGGTACACCAGTAGCGTGGCCATTCTGTCGGGTGCGGTGAAATTCAGTGGGCCCTGCTGCAGTACGTCGAAGTGAAGTTGTAGCGCACCGCCAACAGGATAGTTTTTGATTTGTAATGATTCAGCATACTGGGAATTTAGGTCGGTCGCCATGGCTGACCAGCGGTCGATTTGCTGAATGAACGAGCTCGTATTTGCTCGAAGCGCTGCACTACGAAGTTTGACAGAGGTAACTTTCCCAAATTCATTGCAAAAAACTATGCTGTACCTGATGTTGTAAATGTAATACAGGCTATAATTATTGTAAATGTTTAACGGTTTTTACCGTATCTGTACCTTTTGGCTAACCGGCGTTTTGCGGTGTTTGTGCGATTTGTGGCGCCGTATGTGCTCTTTGGCCTTCTTACATTTTCCCGGCCGATTTCAACTAGTTGATCGGCTTGATCGTCCCGCAAGAATCTATGGATAAAAATCACCGACGGCTTCGTGCTAATGATCTCCATTTCCAGTGGTTGCAGGAGGAGAAACGGATTGCCGTACGTTTCGTGGTAACAACGCAAGTAGCTGCTAAGGACCCCCTAAACAGCACTGCAATAAGGCGACATGTATTAAGCTTGTGCAGAGTCTTCAAGACATTGTGACCTTTGCATCCGCGTTCCGGCACAGCTCTTCGTGATAGGCCGTTGTCAGTTGCCGCACAGCATTTACAGTGGCGTTCTTCCGTGCATGCTGCACGGCGATCTCGATCACTGCTTGCGTTGTTGTCACAACTGATGAATCAGTCAGACCTTCCTCAGCAAAACGCTGTTGGGATACCTGCATCCATTCCGCCGCCAAACCATACCGATGGTTTTTGAACAGCGCCGATCCGATGAGCAGGCACTCTTCGGCGTTTAATCGTGAAATTTGTTCAGTGGAGTTTGCAATAATGCCACTGGAAACATCCAGGATGTTTAGCTTGTACATGGACTGCAGCTGGCCAGTGGCCTCGCTGATCGCCTCAAGGTCATCTAAACCGGGGAATCGTGCAGCTCGTTCGAGTAGATTCTATTTCTGCCAGGGTATAGTCTGCAAACAAATGGAAGTTACGCAAATTTCCGATGCCTACATTTATTTGTCGTGGTTTTTATAGCAACAATTATAAAAATTCAAACAAAATAGGACTGGTAAATCAGCATGTACCCGATAGCGAATTATCGTGCAGCTCTTTGACCATATCGTGCAGCCACCGTATCCCAGTCATATGTCAGATGCTTTAAAAGCCGAAACACTTTTAGCGGATGTTGCAGTGTTTGTGTTATATCCCGTGCGTTCAGATTCCATGACGAATGGAAACAACCAAAATATCTACATTTTCGTTAAAAATATGCATTAGTAAATGTTGGGAAAAGGAGATGCAGCGCACCGCTTGTATGTAAATACTGCACTTACCGTTGCGCAAACGGCGATAGGCTTTCCTTCGATATTGATATGACTTTCTCGTTAATTTGCTTATGAACCAATAAAACATGGGTAATATTCGTATCCGTCGTCAAGAATTGCGCGTTTGACAAAGTAAGGAAGAAACCAAAAACAGTACTACGGAAGGCAGAAATGTTGGTTCTCATTATTATATTGTGATGATATTACATCTTTATTCAGGATATCATAGGCAAAAACCATAACATACCCCAGATCTATGTAATTCGATTTTTATGCATAATTGTGGTATGCAATAAGCCCATCATGAGTGTGTATATAAATTGTCCATTAACTTCCTTTCCACCATACTGGACGCATTACGCAGAGCGAGCACGAAAAGCACTTGACAAATAAACATACTCAGCGCTTTCGACATTTCCCCGGCATGCTCATTTACAGCGTACGCACATTCACAAACTTATTATTAATACTGTTGTATGTCCATGTAAATGATATACTTCTGTAATACTGAATCGACTGCACTTCAACTTCGCATACGAGAATTCTTAAGCGCAACATCTTTCGACACGGATTTGACCGGATCATCTCGCCATCGCCCCGACACTAGCTTCTGTACTTTAACCACCGCCGGTCGTTCTCGCGCCGCCGTTGCATGATTATCCAGCAGCATCTTGGACAACGCACTGCCCGTCAACGGGACCGACGCCACCGGTGGACACGCACAATAGCACACCTCGTTCATCACACACGGCGGCCCGCAGTACGGCGTCGACGTACAGTACACAATGGACGTGGTCCACGGCGTCGTCGTGGTAATGGGACTGCGCGAGACCCCCGAATTGGCGTTGTTGCTTAGACTGACCTGGGTACCGTTGCCGTTAATCTGGGAGCTTCCGCTGTACAGCACCGTATTACCGGAATTAATATTGGTCTGGTCGTGGTTACTGAGGGCTCCCGTGGCGGCGTTGCCGTTGGAGCCGCCGCTACTGAACCCCATGTACACCTGATTGGGGGCGTTGATGTCCTGCAAGGGATCCACTTTAACATAGCTGTCGGCTTCGCCGCTAATGGAGATCCCACTGCCTCGACCGGTGTTCATGGATTGGCTGTTTGATCATGGTAGAGCGTTGGTGAAGCCTGATTGCAATTGGACGTTCAGGCCGACGGTGCCGTGGGTGACGGAGCCGCCACCGTTCGTTCCACCCGTGCCGCCAGGATCACCTGTGTGAGAAAGAACATTGTCAGAAAAGTACTCCTGTACAGGCGTTAATCCCACCAGTTTTGCCACAACAGTAGTATGGCTAGTTATTATAACAAAATCGCGAAATATGGCACTTTAAATTAAGGAATCCCTTAAAATTGTTCCTTTTATACTGACCTTTTATGCAATTAGACAAGCAGAGTAACACTATAGCAAAGGGCAAGAATGCCATGATTGCAGTAGGAATAGAAACTGAGACACCGTTTTCGAAAAAAAGAATATCAACAGTTAATGCATACTTTTGAATGTTTAATGCGCTGCTGTGCTTTAACAAGCTCATTTTGAATGCAGGCGGAAATGCAGTGAACGGTATATTTTACTGTGAATAAATTTGTCGGCATTTTTGCATTACGTTTGTACAGCGTTAATAAACTTCCTCGTGTGTCGGTCAGTTCTTATTCGATACGATTAGTGGATAGCTATAAACACACTGGATTATTTCGATGAAGAAATTATTTGGGACAGCTCCTGTGTATTCTTTAATATGGATATCTTGATTTATGAGCGATTTGCTGAAATTTGTGTGGCCAATGCTGAGACGATGGGAATATGTTGTGTATAGCTATACTGCTATAGCCGGTAATTAAAACTAGCCCCCCCCCCCTGTGTTTTACGAGCAAGGAAGTCATTGTTGTGGTTTTGGCTTAAGCTCAGCGCGTTACTGAATAATAAGGAAGGAAAAATAAATCATAACCGGCGACATGTTGTTTTGCATAGCTGCAAAATTTGATACTTCGCAACTTCCGCCAATGACAGCATAATAGTAATAAAAGAAGGCATTCTATAAGACAGATGCCGTGCGGATAATCGAAACGATTTCCACTTTTCTTTGCAAACGTAGCGCTTCGAAGACTAAAACATAACCATGACCCCACGGAACCGTTATATTTTGACGATCACGATTGCAGTATTCTTGCTATGTCGTGTTTCCCAAGGTTTGTACGCTAGAAAACGCGACCGCAGAAACAGAGCAAGGCTAAACGTCCATATTTTTAACAGGGGATCCCGGTAGCAATGGCTACGTGTACGGGAGTGGAGCGGCGTCCGGAGTGGGAAACGCGCAGGTGAACAGTCAGAGCCAGTCGACGTGGAGCAACGGCCTCCCTTCAACGTACAGCCAGTCGATGAACAACGCCGGTGGAAGCGGCATCTCCATCAGTGGCCAGGCCAACAGCGCCGTCAACGTGGATCCACAGCAGCAGGACACCAGCAGCCAGGTGGTCAGCGGCAACAGCAACGCCAACTCCAACGGCAACGCCGCCACCGGCTCACTCAACAACCTCGACCACAGCAACTCTGACAACTCCAACGGGTTGACCGTCATCGGTAATTCGCAGATCACCGGCAACGGCACCGGCGTCAGCGTCAGCAACAACGTTAACTCCAACGTCAACAAATATCCAATAACAACGACCACGCCGTATAGTTGTGACGGTGTTCCTATTGCATGCCCGGCATTTTGCAGTTTTTCTGGATGTGGCTGCATATGCCCGATCTACGCTGAGGGAGCTGCAGCAGCGCCCAACACTGGTTCCAAAGGGTCATCGTTAGTCAAAGGTGAAACGCCGCTGCAGCGAATCAGAGAACGCGGAAATACAGTTCCGCGTTCGCGTACAATGCAGCGATCGCAGAGCGTTAATCGTGCAGCTGCGTCTGGGATTGGGAATTTAAGAAAACGCTCATAAATTTTTTAGTCCTTGTCAGTCAGTGGTTCTTTGTGATTGCCAGTGTTGCCACGCTTTCCAGTTAAATTTTGCACTGATTATGCAGTTCTTTGGGATGCGTGAGATTCTTATTTTAATAAATCCTACCTTATTAGGTTTTTTTAAGTTCGTACATTCAACTGGATTTTAGGCTTTCGAGAGGTACCAGTTCTCGTGCACAATGTAGGTTCACGTATTATAGTGTTCAATAGATTATGTATTCCGCATGCCATTCTGCGGTCTGTGCTTTTGAAGTTGAGATATCCACTGAAAACAGCGACACAGTAAACATAGCTATTACAGTAGAAGTACAGAGAGCAGATATGTTTTATTAATGCGTTGGAATAGGAGAAAATCATACAAAAATACAAATTTGAGCGGAATTTTACTGAACACGGAACTTACTGTACAGTTTACAGGGACAGTATACCCGCGCGAGTTTAAGGGACAGTAAATTCCCCTGGACCGCCCGCACTAGACGTCGGTTTCTTTGATATCTGTACCCGCGCGAGTTTAAGGGACAGTAAATTCCCCTGGACCGCCCGCACTAGACGTCGGTTTCTTTGATAACTGTACCCGCTTGAGTTTAAGGGACAGTCAGCATCAGCAACAATGTTAATTCCAACGTGAACCAGTACCAGATAACCACGACGACTCCTTCGACGAGTACGTTCTGTACCTTTCTACCTTTGTGCATTAACGGATGTTTTCTGGTGAACTGTAAATTTGTCTGCGCGCCTGGGCCGGTAATCCTTGAGAACAGCAAATCTAGGGCATCACTGCGCCGGCAGAGCAAACCCATGGAAAGAAGCCGGGAGCGGAATGCGGTGCAGCGATCTCGCGGAGCAGACAACCGAAACATTCGTCATCATTAGCCTAACTTTTATAGCGACACTCCGTATCCGAGCGTTTTGATGTTTACCCAGTTACTTTATCGGGAATCCTTAAGTTAAACGTAACAGATCCAGGATGCTGATTTGCTCCAGTCTAATCAGATTATCCAGAGTTTCATAACATTGCTCTACTATTTTCCGACGTGGTTCTTTCCGTCTTTTTAGCATGGTTGCAAATTTCTCCGTGGTGTGCATTTTAAAATGCTTCACTGCCTCTTTTGGATGTACAGATATGGGCACTTAAAGCTTTTCGACTGAATAAATTATGTAAAAAATTTATAATTCGGCAGCGGCAAATCGTTATGTGGTTAGCTTCTGCATCAGATGCAGATAGATAAACTGGTAAAAAAAACGACTTAAGAACAGATGAATTGCCAATGAATACATCCGGGAGTGGCTGTCACCATTCGCACTCAAAACGGGAACGAGTTATGCGTAATATGGGCACCTTGCCGGACTCGGATAGCATATCGGGAGTGTAGGTATGTGTTGTAGTTGTACTTGTTAGTTATTCTTTTATCCTTTGACTTACAGATAGGTCAGTACTGTAATATCTTAACCGCCATTTTAATTAGTGAGAATATGTATCGATATTTTTTGTTAAATTGCCTGTGCATATTGTTATTTGTACGACTGAAGTTTTTTATTTTTTTGGTTCCTTATCGACCGTATTTGGCCATATGGGTAGTCCCATTGCAATTCTTTCACGAAGGTGTCTCCGGCGCATTCCCCTTTGATTTAGTTAACTTCTTCGGAACTGTCCTTCAGGCGCTGAGTTAGAGCGCTACCTATGTCAGCCGTCGACTGTTCGTCTTCCGCGGTCAACGGGAACGACGCCGGGCAGTTCGCACCACGTGGTCCATTACATTAAAGGCATCCAAAATCGCACTACGGAATGCTCCAGCTGTCCTCTGTGCTTCCGGTCCGCAGTGATCGGCCACCTCCGTTCCACTGCAGGCATAATAGTATTTTGTGATGCTACAAAAAAGATGCGAATACTTCCGTATTTGGTTAAAGGCATACTCCGATTCGCTTACCAGCAAAATTTATGGAGTACGTTTTCGGCTTCGAACACTTCCAGAAGTCCCAGTGGACTGAAAGGTTCTTGAATCTGCTTAAATTCTCGTTCGGCACGATGAGTACAGGCGCGTGATTTGCTACCGATGGTCTGGTTTAACGTCTTTTCGCACTGCATCAGCACACGGTGGTTACTGTCCAAGTCGGGTCGATCGCATACCTCGAGCAGGCTTAACGCGCCGGTCATCGCCTCCCGCAAATCGTCCATGCCGGTGCAGGATGCCGTGACGTTCTGCACGCAGCTGACCACGCTACGAGTAAGTCTAAGAAAAGAAGTGAATACCAATTTGAAAACATTATGGGGAAGGGTCAATTCAAGTGACTGAGTGTAACGGTGGTCGTCTGTACCAATAGCTAACGGAATAGTTTGCTGTTACTGTACTAGTACTAGTATCCCTTACGAAGATAGCAGCCATGACCTTTTTTCTTAGACGCTGCGGCATTAGGGACTTTGTCAGGTAGGTATGCTTAGCAACCTGACCAGTACCCAAGTGGATCTGTTTTCGGTTCGTGCGTTTGTAATTCAGCTGCAATTCATTAAATAGCACGACGCTCCCCGTAGTGACAGATTTTATGCAGCACTATTTTATTATCTACACAGTTTGCACTGCTATGAACGTTAACAGTTTAAAAAGCAGCAAATCTGCAGGTGCACAATTTTTATAGAAATGGTAAATATATTTGGATCTCGTTGCAGAAGGCTTTATGTTATCGTCCATGTTTAACCAGTCAGAGTGTGTCTTTTTCACCGTAGTTCCAATCCTGGCTCATGGGCATAACGGTTGCAAAGCATTCAAATACACACTGATGCTGTTTAATCAGCCAGGCGTTTAGGTTCGAAGATTTTCTATTCCCTAACCATAAGAGCAGAGATTTTTTATGACTCCGTCAAACGACTTGATGCAGCAAAAAGTTTGTAGCTAGGCTCGGTTTGCCAATGCAGGTATTAACTGCTTAATTATTGTTTTTTGTGTATCTTCTAGTACAGAACACGTATACGTATACCAGGTACTTAGTTGTCAATTACCTGCATAAATTCCTAAGCTGCGACGCAGTGAGGTCCGAACTGCTTTTGATTCTTCCGGGTTCAGTGTTACGTATGTGATGAGATGCATGGCACAGTTAGTCAAATCAGTGACCCTCGTATGGTGGCAGACCGGTGTGGCTGAACCAATTACAACTACTGTCAGGAACACGATAACGGTGCCCACAGGAAGCATGGTGTACAAAGAACTTGAATAACGGGTAACAAAATTCGGGCACTGAACTCCGGTATTTAGGGAAAGGAGACTACTGCTACTGCCGCACCATTTACAGATTACAAAGAAATCGACGCATTTTCCACAGTATTCCCACAGTACCCTGGGCAGCGTATCTTGAGCTCTGTAATCCATTGATCAGATCAAAATACTTTTTGCTGATTTTTGGATTGATTATTAGCTGTCATGACTAGCGACTTTTATAGGTGATTGGCTTACGTTGTTTGGATCGCAGGAACTGCCGATCATTCAACTACCGTACATGATTGAAAGAAATTTCCGGGCGATTGCAACGCAACAAAACGAATAACAAAGTTTACATATTATGCAGTGAGAAACGGGAGGTTATTATGTCGCCCATCGAAAGGTTACATTTAAAACCTATCAGCAAAAGCGGCAGCTTTAATACGCTGAAATTCAAAATTTGGTTTTCGCGGCCTCCTACCATTTTTAATTCGCTGCGTATCACATTCTAGAACGCTGATACATTTGGAGCTCCACATTGCTTGTACATTCGACAGACACAACACAGAGACAACACCCCATATATCGCTATGCCGTTATCGGTATATCGACAACGCCGAAATATCAACATCATTCAGTCATTCCACTGGGTTATATTTGCATGCGGTCTTTCGTCGGGTCAACATCGGCGAGTGAGGCTTCGCATGACCTCCCACGTTCTCCACCGCACCGGAACGTGTTTAGGACTGCATCGCGGACGTTGTCGGCCATCTGTTGCGCTGCGGATCCACACCGATCCGTAATTTCCGTGCCAATGCACGCGTGATAGGCCTTCGTATAACTGCAAAAGCCGTAGAATTAAAGTTTTGATACTTCTCATTTCAGAGAGCATCATGATTATGCCGCTTACCAGCACAATCGGCGCAAGACGATGCCGGTACGTGATAGTTCCAACGGATCCACCGGTTGACCCTGCAACACCCAAAACTGCCGACGAGCCCGTGCCGCACACGCGTTCAACCGTGTGGCGGATGGAAAGAGGGTGCGGAAGCACTGCAGGGCCACCTGGGTCTTGCTGTACGCATCCGGCCGATCACAGGCATTCAGGAGGTGTGTTACACCAGCCAGAAATTCTATCAGTTCGGGATTGGTGCCGGTACAGGGCGTCGCGGCCGTCTGGGCGCACTGGAACACGCTACGGGTGTGGCTGTAACCAAGGTTGCCGAAACACTGGGTAAGCCATAATATTTCGGCTGTTAGTTCGGACAAAATAATCGACAACATGTTGATACCTGCAGAGACTGTTCAGCTGTGATTCGGTGACGTTTAATTCGGACACGGGTTTACTCACTTCGCGACCTTCTGGACTGGACTCCAAGTACGCTAGCAGCGGGTTAACACAATGCGATAGGCCGGAAAGGTCTGACGGACAAACCGTTGCCGATGGTGGGGAGGGGCTGCACACAGCGATGGTGGCCCCGGCCGCCAAAAGCGCAGTTAAACTTAAAAGATGCATGGTGGCTTTTTAATACTTCAAGGGAAAATTATAAAAATACCGAAAAGATATTCGCGGTATGACAGCTTGCTCAACGAATGCTTGCACAAACTACAGACTGACTAAAGCCATAAGGCAATCAAACAAGCACTCCCACTCAATCTGCCGCGGTTTACTGATTGCCTAAACTTATAATGGTCCAAACTGATAAATGTATTCGTATATATTTGAACTCAAACTGCACAAGAAAACAGACCACAGATCAATACATATATACCGTAAGTTAAAATTTTGTATACAGTAGACTGAGTAGAGTTGCCGGGAGAGACGCGGTGTAGCAGTGTACCAAAAGTCACAAATACCCACCACCTACAATCAAGTGGCCAATGCTGGAACCCATCTGCATGAGTAGGGAGAATCAGAGAGGTAATGATATGTCTGCCTTCGGGTGTTCGACAATTTGACGGACGACGAAGATATTTTCTTCTTTCAAGCTAGTTCAATGGGAGTTATTGCTGTGGTATTGTGACTTCCAGATTGTTAATTACTTCATTAACAGTTAAATCACCAAGAAAAATTGTTTGTCCCAACACCAAGCGGGCACAGAATAGGCAAGAGGCGGAGTCGGCTTTTCTACCCGGGTTCAAAAATACGGATAATCTAGTTAGCTAGCATAAATCACTGTGTAACATCACCTAGGTACAAATCGAGCAAAACTCATTCGAACAGAACGATGCTGGAGTGTGTTAAAATTTAAGTCATTAGAACAAAGTGTGATGATTTTCAATTTTCAAAATATTTCTTAGATCGATATCTTAGATTCAATTTGACTTTTTTTGCTTGGACTGGGTCGACCCATTTATCGTTGCTGAAAGCGTGGACTGCTTGCTGCTTGACTCCTTGTTCTTTCGTAACTCCGACCTGTCTTTGACATGCATGAAGAATTAGAGAACCTCTTTTCCTCCGTTGGGTAAGAACTGTGAAGCACTTGAGCGGAAAACTAAGGAGTCGTCTCCATCGTGTCTACTAAATTGTAGATTAAATTCGCCAACGTGGTTAGGAAATATCGTGGACAGTGTACAGCGGGAGCGTCTGACTGGCAAGAGTGCCAGGCACTCAGTCTATCGGCAGATATGGACGAAAATCAAGGTAAAAAACCAACTAGAATGTTTTCCAAACTAAACGGCATTTTTCTGTAAACAACATTGAGTCATCTTATTGTCGCGGGTCGACCCATCGTATCTAAGGTAGTGCGATAAAAATTTCATTCTTTCTATGTTGCAGAATTCCAAACGTGTGGCGCTGCCAAAATCGGTTGTCTATCCAAAGGAACTCGTTCAGTGTATGAATGCGATTTTTCCTGGAGAAGAACATCACAAAGACGTATGTACACGTGCTTGATTCTGGAGTCGACTCCGTTTTACTTGATTGTTTGCAGTTTGGACCGCCTTCCATTACCCTTCACCAAATTTCTGTGTTGTGAAGATTGTCCGTAACTAGCCGGAACGCAATGTGAAATAAACTGACATTTTATTCACCGATTGTTTTATTCACACAGTTAACACAAATATTATAAGTATGCTCACCACAAGCAGGAACTCTGCACAAAACACAGTATTTAGTCGTCTTTCGATCCGTACCCTTCGCGCACACTTTACAGCGCTTCTGACCAGTAAATGGAGGTGCAGGAATTTTCTGCATGGGTCGACCCGTTTCCTCTGGAATCTTGAGTAATGCTTTGATAGTGCCGCGCACTGTGGCGCTGATGTGCTTCAAGTCCAGGCGTCGACGCAGATGGGTTTCTAGCAACTCTTCGGCTAGCGATTCTAAAAACAGTCGTCTACGGTGTTTTGCTCGGCTCCAAGCTGGGTTTAATTCGATCCACACCACAAATCCATTTAACGCAGATATGTCAACCATATCATAGAACAGAATTACGGGCCAACGACGCGTGCGACGCTTCACGCTGTACATGGTAACCATTTGGTCCAGCGAGTCGACTCCAGCTTTCGTTTCGTTGTATGTGGTGATGATGACAGGTTTCTTCTCAGTGGTCGTTTCAACCACAGCATCTCGGTGGTGGGTGCTGAGAAGTATAACTGCTTTGCCAATTTTTGGAACATACGAAACCAGTGCGGCTTCCTTTGTGAAACCAAAAAGACTGGAAAATTCGGCACGTTCTCTGGATGGCAAAAAGGCTGCTGGTATCTCTGGCTTATTCTTGCGCATCGTTCCGACTAGAGTGATATTTCGTTTCAGCAACTCAAGACCTGTAAATGTTGATACAAGGGTCGACCCAATTCAAATGCGATAATTCATAAAAAATTTCAAGCATTTCTAAAAGCAGTTATACAAAGGTAAAAGCAATTTACCTAATTCGAGATCAGTGAAGAAGTTGTCTATCGTCACATTTCTTCCGGAGTCGACTCCTAGGTACTGCACAAGATCCAAAACAACACGGCGCCCTTGATTTCTTTCTGGAGGTGCGCCCGGAGATTTTCCCGTGTACACTTGTATGTTGCAGCAGTACTTCGAGGCAGAATCAGCTAGGATAAAATTCTTCAGCCCGTACTTGGAGGGTTTCTTCGGAATATACTGCTTGAATTTACAGTGGCCGTGGAACGAGTAAAGCTGCTCGTCTATAGTTAGATAAGGACCAGGGAGATAGGAATTTCGCAACGTTGGTACCCACAATTCAAACAACTCCCGAATATGTGCCAGTTTATCAGTAAGTTCGCGCAGATATCGCGACTTCTTGTTGTCAAAACGGAGTGCACTAGATATTTCGCTAAAACGATTTCGAGACATGGTGGCGTTGTAAATGGGTCGACCCTTCGCTTCGTTCCACAGCTGGCACAATGGCTTTTTGCTGTCATGATTCACGCCGTGCAGAATCAGCAAGCCCAGAAATGCATCTAGTTCGACTGCATCCAGTTCCGTCCACGACTTCGGAAACATAAGTTTCCCCTTCACATTGGTATGGATAAGTATTACGGCTTTCATGTCTTTGGTGAAAAAAACATTGAAAGCATCCACCAGCTTGGCTACCGTTCCTCGCACATGCGGCCGCACGCCTGGTACTCCAGTCATTTTGTCCGCAGTTCTTGTCTTTCCGGTATCACCACTCGCGGTCGACCACTCCACATTGTTTTTCGCTCTGAAGGTGTACGAATAAACAAAGTCTTCGTCCTCCGACACCGTATCTGAATGATAGTCGGCCTCCTCGGGTTCAGCATCAGATATGTCACTGTCTGTGTCGACACATTCACTGTCACTTGAATAGGCTTCGCTACCAGACTCAATTTCATCTACTGCACGTTTCGTACGAATAACGTTAGGCATTTTAAAAAAAGGTCGACCTTACGGCATTTTAAAAAAAGGTCGAGGAGAAATTATCAGTTTGAAGATTGAACCCAATCGACGTGGTCCGTCAATAATTGAAATGTGACGCAAATCGATCTAGAAGCTGTAACAGTGCGCAGCAGGTGATGTTCGTTGTAGTGATTGTAAAAGTGTTGGTTTTCGTGGGAGAAGTTGCATGCTACTTCCCATTGATTTAATGATCACTAAACACAGACCAGTAGCTCAGTTTTCCTGTACACAATCTTGGTTTGTAGCCCATAATTTTTAGTACAGAACGAATTTTGGGATTTTTTTTTACTGCTGTCGTTGTCGAGTTATCCGCACTCGAAGGAAGCCGGTAGAAAAGCGACTAAATTTTGCCCAGCCATTTTCTCGAAGACCATCCTTTTGATCGTTTTCGACATTAAGTTTAAAAAATAAAGCGAAAAAAGTTAGGATCAAACGTCCTGGTTCGAAGGACGTACAAATAATGAGAACTTTCTTAGGGATATAAGAAAGAGCCTTTGCCTATTTGGCACCCGCCTGGTGTGTTGACTGTTAAATAAACAAAATTCATCCATGTTTATGCCCGCGATATTTTTTAATTTTCATCTGGCAACCCACAGCAGCCTTGAAAATAATTTGGTAATAATGCACAAATGACGAGCATCATAATTGGCATTTCGTCAACGAATCGAGGGATATTCAACAAATTTGATTGTCTTTATTTATCAAAAATAACCTTCGCTCATTTTGTAAACGAGCAAAGCACTAACTGTCAGCCAAGGACAGACACTAGCATGATGAGTAGCATCTAGATGCTTTCAAACTTATAATGGCGAAAGGTCACCCCTTGAGATGTTCTACGCGTCCAAGGAACAGAATGGCTTGGCTTGCCGTATGTTGAATGGCGAACATGAAAGGATGATCGGCCGTAAAGAACACCTGCCGCACTCGGGGAACAAAGAAAGGCCGCGCCGAACGTGTCATCGATAAAACCGTCACCGCTGCCGCTTCCGTGCCCTTTTCATCTACATCTATCCAATAACATAAGATTCGTGGATTATTCAAAATAAATTATTAGAACTATCAATAAACTGTGATTACAAGTATGAGCACCGTATTCCATACCAGAACTATCTAATTGCCGCATAATCTTTACCACAACTGCAAACTTTTCGACTCACCGATGAACGTTTTATGAATGGCAGTGCCCACATGCACATCGTCGCCTTCCACCATCTCCGTGAAATTGGCCTTGTCGTTAAATGCCTCCGCAACACCCATCCGGCGCATCACCGCTTTCAAGTCCACATCACTGGCTAATTTGAATCTCGGCAGGGCCACATGGATCAGCCGCTTCCTCAAGGTCACACCGAACGCTTTTTGCAGTCCGCCAATCGTAATACTCTTTTCCAGTTCCCGCAATCCGTCTTTCTTCTTCGGCAGCATAATAATCATTCGCACACTTTTGCCAACATAATCCAGCGCCAGATACTGCACTTTGTCGTCTTCCGCATACGGGAAATTCCCACTAATCTTCATCATGGGAATTTCCACTTCTTCACCGTTCAACAGTGTAAAATTTCTGGTAACCGTTGCTTTGGGGTTGAAGCGTTTCAGCCAGTGGGAATTAAAGTATAGAGTATTCACCAACACCGCGATCGTTTCTTGTTTGATATTTGCCGGGGATAACGCTTCCGGGATCTTTCCGGCTGTGGCATTGGCGACCCAGGAGTTAATCTCGTTCAGAGCTTGTTTCGGTTTACGGAAATCTTTCGTCTCCACCTTTGCCAGCAGTTCCAGGCAGTCGTCGATGTACTGTAGACGAAATTCACGGCCTTTTTGTAGGAAGAGCCCGTTGTTCATGCGGAGAACCTCACGGCCGGGATGGGCAGGGGAAAGGTCATGGAGAGTGTGGACGAGGGCCGCTAGCGCCCGTGACTTGTTGCCTTGGAAGGCCGTGTCAAAGTGGAGAGCCGTGTCGAGGTTGGATTTCGTGGTGTTGCCGGCGCCGAGGTAAAGCAGCATGGCAGCGTACATGATGGAGGTCGGAGAAATTAAGAGGTTCCCGGTTGGGTGGACGGAGGTGGCGGCGTGATAAAGCTCAAGACTGTTTTGGGTTAGCATGTTGGTGTACTCCGTATGCATGCTAGGAGGGCTGCGCATGATGCCAAAAATGTACGAGATCATAAGGAGAATTATTACATAAATGATGAAGAAATCTGTCAGACAGCCTCCAAAAAACTGCCAAACGACATGTGACCTCCGTATCGCACACGTTTACATGTGCAATCAGAATGCATCTGTGGAGAGGTTTTTTTTAGTGGAAATTTGGTTGGAGACTAAAGGAGAGAAAAGCCGGTTACGACGCCGATTTTCAATCGTATGAGTCTGATTTCCTTTGAGCGGCTGATACAAATCCGTTTATTACGAAACATATAGGCATTTGTTTGAGCCGGATTTTATGAGCTGAAATTGGACAGGGTGGTGACTGCGTAACAAACTAGCTGTTATAAATGATAGATGTGGTATCCGTGAACGTGGAAGAGTAGAACCAACTGACGCATAAACGAGGTAATGCTATGTAGAAGCCAACGCAACCAAAGCCTGCCACTGGCACGTTTCTTTGCATTGTCATCTGCATTCCTGTCAGGAATTTCCTGGCATAGAACGTGACGAAATAATTGTGTGGTTTGTCGAAAAGAAGTGTTAATGATGCAGATAGACGCATGCAGATATTGTAGAATCTGGTCCAAAATATACGTAGAATATGATCGAGGCATTGCAGGACTATTTATAGAGGCGATAGATATTACTGTACCATGTCAAAGAAACCGACGTCTAGTGCGGGCGGTCCAGGGGAATTTACTGTCCCTTAAACTCGCGCGGGTACAGATATCAAAGAAACCGACGTCTAGTGCGGGCGGTCCAGGGGAATTTACTGTCCCTTAAACTCGCGCGGGTACAGTACAGTGCTGCTCCGTGTTCCAGTAAAATTCCGCTCAAATTTGTATTTTTGTATGATTTTCTCCTATTCCAACGCATTAATAAAACATATCTGCTCTCTGTACTTCTACTGTAATAGCTATGTTTACTGTGTCGCTGTTTTCAGTGGATATCTCAACTTCAAAAGCACAGACCGCAGAATGGCATGCGGAATACATAATCTATTGAACACTATAATACGTGAACCTACATTGTGCACGAGAACTGGTACCTCTCGAAAGCCTAAAATCCAGTTGAATGTACGAACTTAAAAAACCTAATAAGGTAGGATTTATTAAAATAAGAATCTCACGCATCCCAAAGAACTGCATAATCAGTGCAAAATTTAACTGGAAAGCGTGGCAACACTGGCAATCACAAAGAACCACTGACTGACAAGGACTAAAAAATTTATGAGCGTTTTCTTAAATTCCCAATCCCAGACGCAGCTGCACGATTAACGCTCTGCGATCGCTGCATTGTACGCGAACGCGGAACTGTATTTCCGCGTTCTCTGATTCGCTGCAGCGGCGTTTCACCTTGACTAACGATGACCCTTTGGAACTAGTGTTGGGCGCTGCTGCAGCTCCCTCAGCGTAGATCGGGCATATGCAGCCACATCCAGAAAAACTGCAAAATGCCGGGCATGCAATAGGAACACCGTCACAACTATACGGCGTGGTCGTTGTTATTGGATATTTGTTGACGTTGGAGTTAACGTTGTTGCTGACGCTGACGCCGGTGCCGTTGCCGGTGATCTGCGAATTACCGATGACGGTCAACCCGTTGGAGTTGTCAGAGTTGCTGTGGTCGAGGTTGTTGAGTGAGCCGGTGGCGGCGTTGCCGTTGGAGTTGGCGTTGCTGTTGCCGCTGACCACCTGGCTGCTGGTGTCCTGCTGCTGTGGATCCACGTTGACGGCGCTGTTGGCCTGGCCACTGATGGAGATGCCGCTTCCACCGGCGTTGTTCATCGACTGGCTGTACGTTGAAGGGAGGCCGTTGCTCCACGTCGACTGGCTCTGACTGTTCACCTGCGCGTTTCCCACTCCGGACGCCGCTCCACTTCCGTACACGTAGCCATTACTTCCTGGTTGACCTACGGTAGTGAGCAAAATTTTAACATGCCTGTTTAAACGGAACAGCGGTCAACAGAAAAACGTACTACGGACCTCGAACAACGGCGCTTGTGCTGATTAGGAAAAGGAGATGGGCAATCCGTTGCATTTCTTCGAAGGTATGCGGACACTTCCAAGTCTGTTACTGTACGTCTAATATTACGGCGACCAGTAACTCGGCGTTTAAAAAAATAACCCCTTTTACATTGGTTTTTATCCATTGTACGACATTGGCTTAATGCTGTATTCATTACATGCACCGAAGCGGAAGTTTTAGTGCACTCGTATAACTAAAAAACAACAATCGCAATGTTAAATTAATGTCTAATTAAGCACCCATTAATGAGAAGTGCTCTAATTAGAAATGCAACCGAACTGCCAATGCAATCCATACTTCCTCTGTTCGCTGTGCGGTTATGGTTTTGTAAAAACCTGTTTGATGGTGAACGCAAAGGTACAAGATCATTAGAAAAAAAGTAGAGTTCTTTGCTTTCTTTGGATTCTGAATCTGCGTTTCTTCGATCATTCTCAGCCCAAAAAAAATGGTACACTCAAAAGGTTTATTCATTTCTAGCTTCTCAAAGATAAATTAATGGTTGAAATTTAAAAAGCGTGGAGCGTCCAAAGAAAGTGGAAATGGAAAGTGGTACCCGATAGGAATGTTGACAAAAGTGAATCTAGCGGGACATACAGGTATACATACAGGGATATACAGGTAGGATAAAGAATATACAGATACAGGTATAATTACAGACGTTTTCAGATATCTGGATGAATCGAGTACACATATAGATGCAGGAAAAAAAGGTTAACGCCAAATATTTGATTTTGCGATCCCGGCAGATGCGCTCTAGCCTGAAAGTTGTTGGCGGTAGCCGGTACAATAAAGAAATTCGATCTGCATGTTTCTCTTGTGACAAAATATTGTTGTTTACAGCGAAAAACAAGGAAGTGGACGCAAATTGCAATGGATTTGAACTAGAACATTTACACATATTAGACAGTTTGACAAGTATGTGATTTATGCGTGAAGTCGAACACATTTCCGTCTGCATACAAATGAGCCCAGATTGCCTAACAGCGCCATCAAGCGCACCCTGCCCACAATAAGAACAAGCGCAAATGCGGGTGTTCACTCTTCATACCGGCCGCGAACAGACATCTTCACCGCTCCATTTTTATTCCGTTAACCAGACTACTGCACGGTTTAGCATGACGCTCGTCGCTAGCTTGATTGCCGCCCTTCTCGCATACTCTCCTCTCGTCCACGGTAAGCTAAACAAAAGGTGGATCCTTTTACGTCTGTTTTACTGTAACATCTAACGATAAACCTTAATTTTTCGTATAGGTCAACCCGGAAGCAACGGTTACGTGTACGGGAGTGGAGCCGCATCCGGCGTGGGGCACACGCAAGTGAACAGTCAGAGCCAGTCGACGTGGACCAACGGTCTGCCATCGACTTACAGTCAATCGATGAACAACGCCGGTGGAAGCGGCATCTCCATAAGCGGCCAAGCCAACAGCGGCGTCAACGTGGATCCGCAGCAGCAGGACACCAGCAACCAGGTGGTCAGCGGCAACAGCAACGCCAATTCCAACGGCAACGCCGCCACCGGCTCACTCAACAATCTCGACCACAGCAACTCTGACAACTCCAACGGATTAACCGTCAACGGCAACTCTCAAATTACTGGCAACGGCACCGGCGTTAGCATTAGCAACAACGTTAATTCTAATGTCAACAGGTATCCGATAACAACGACCACGCCCATGACGTGTGACGTAATTCCGCCTTGTCCGCCTGGGTGTTTCTATTCGAACTGCTATTGCGCCTGCCCGATTGACGCTGTGGCATCCAGCAATACACCGAGTGTCAGCAGTGGACCAAAGCTGGCTTCGGTGAAGAGCAGAACGCCTTCTGTACAGCCTGCACGAGAGCGGAAGACATCGATAAGTTCGCTTGTGCGATCACGGGGACAGCAAAAATTGCAGTCTGTTGTGTTGCCATCCGCTTTGCCGGCGAATCTAAGAAGACGAGTTTAGTGGTATACGGTACTCGTATCTTCTAAACTGTGATTTGTGACAGCCCCGATATCTTAGTCTTGATTTATGAATTTCTGCAGCATTTTTTTAAGTAGCAGTTACTGAAAAGATAGCAGTTTTGTTCTGATATTCAGCAGTTTTGTTCTGATATTCAGCAGTTTTGTTCTGATATTCAGTTCTGATATTCTGTATTTCTGTAGCTTGTTGCTTGCGCGCTGTGAGATTACATATCCCATAGAACTAATTTGATGTGACGGATTATTTTGCTATCTGAATATAAAAACTTCTCAACAAAATACAGGCACGGTTCCATCGATTCCGTATATTATACCGGGGCGTATTGTATAAAGAAAAACTGCCGCGTTGCAGTGATGTATATGCCTATATGGGGGTCGGAGCGGCGCACTATTTTCTTATTACCATGAAAATTAACATGACAGTAAAAAATTAGTGTAACTTCATAAGGAGAACTTTTACGTGCATTGCGTTTTTTAACGGGTTTTTTTGAATAAATAGTCAAAAGTAACCAGAGCCTTTCCTGACTTCTAGTTACGATTGTAGATAAATTCTTTTAAACGTCAACGTTGCTCGTTACTATTCGAAATTGTGAACTTTGTGATTTGAATGCATCAAATCGCATCCAGTTAATTGTACGTAACTGAATGCAACAGGAAGAGAATATAGATTATATTAAGCAGAGATTCCTTACACTAGTACACAGATTATATTTGTGCATACTCTTTCGGCGGAACCGAGTAACATTCGGTTCCGCCGAAAGAGTATGCACAAACTCTTATAAAGAAGTGAATGCTATAAAGAGAATCGCTGTAGTCTACGAGACAATCCGGCTTCTTGCAGTCTGAAATTTGAATGTTATAGAGGATAGAAAGTAAAACAGAAGTGTATTTAAGGAGAGGTTTCACTGTACTGTCGGAAACACCATTCGGTCGCATTAATATGTATGTACTGCTAATCGCTGAATGCTGACCGAAAACCAGCCGACAGCAATAATATTCTGTGTGTGATTAAAAGTGATCGTACTCGTACTTGCTCGTACTGTAACTTTATATCGATAATCGTCGACGTTTTGCGGACAAAATTCCCGACCTTGTAAGAAGAGTCCATTGTTCATGTGAAAAACCACGTTTCAGGACGCACGGGGTTAAGGACATCGACATGGAGGGCCTCCAGAGCTCGTGACCTGAGATAAAAAATTATAATCCCGTCCGGTCCCGACATCGAATTTGTTGTTGCACACCTGCTCAAGTAAAAACTGCGACTGGGGCTTATATACAGTATAAACGGACAGTACAATGGCCATAACGAAACCGTTTTCGGTACAACGCTCACCACTTTACAAGTACTGTAGAGTAACCCTGCACTTGACAGCCTTTTTGTACGACAGGAGCTATACTGCACTGTAGTACTGGCAAACGTTCAGCTGGCTCAGAGCCGACTGCACTGCACTCACATGTGCTGTCTGCCTAGTCTCAGGCAGCAGATGTAAATGGTGAATGTGCTCGTACAGCGTACGTCTCTCTGAGCTGTAAAAAAAGCTGTCAAGTGCAGGGTTACTCTACAGTATAATATTGCTTTTTGTGGAACCGCTGACAGTATTCGCTCCCTTGTTTAGCGTTGAGCAGTCCAGAAGTGCAGCAATACGCACTCCATTTTAACTAGGACAAAGTAACATGGTTTGGTGATTATTGCGATTGCGGTTAGTAACACGTAACGCAAGATTTGAATATGAATGCTGCCACGAATAGCAGTTCTAAAAAATTGTCTTGAAACGACAAAATTATTTTCATACAGGCCAACCATGCAGAAAGCAACGGCTATTTGTGAATTAAAAAATAGTTTTTATACTAGCAAAAACCATGCAGATAATTTTTGTATATATTATGTAGTGCGTTTTTCTACGCTGTTAGAATCAGCATGTATTTTGCCACCAACGGAGGGTGGCTGAGAAATGGCCGGAGCTCTCCCCAATCCGTCCGTCGGAGCCAGACGCACTCTGAGTCCACCGGCATCCCCTCTAACGGCGCCTGGATCGCTATTTAGCGCCGTACCCAGCGCCGTGGCCAGTTCCGCTGGTGAAACGTTATCGTCGCGTGCAGCAGGTACGAAAGCCAGACCGACGTTCGTCACCACCTTTCCAGGGGAAAAGCTGCTGGGGTAACACGACCCGGGACTATACTGGCCAGCTGATAAGCCGCCGGATTTGTTCAGTAATTGCTCGATCTGTAATGTTACATCATGATCCCATGGCACCTTATCATTCCAGTACCATGTACGTTATAGTATTCGTGCAGCGGCAGCCTATTAATTTACAGTTTGTTTTCGGCATTTCCCTTTTCTCGGCTTCACTTTTAATTTCTGGTACCAGTAATTCTGCAAGGCGATTGCAAGGTCTGGCTTATTGCTTAGTATGCATGTTATTGTACAAAACAGCAGAATGTGAAATTATATACTGTGCATATGCAGCCATAATACTCTGTACTTCGTACTGTACTTACTTGATAGCACACGACGACCGCTAACTCTTGAATTATTGGATGTGAGAAATTTGACATGTGAGACTGGAATAACAACGGTTTTCCGCACAGTTCAGCCACAGCTAGTCCAACGCTATACTGGACGGATGCTAAACATATACACTGCAAATTAAATGTTGATTTTGACTTAATTGTGTACTGTAGCCGCCCGCACAAGTTGCCCCACAGAGTGAGGTATACGGATGTTTGGCCTCACATTGCTCGCTGTTCAGCGCAGTGTGTGCAGGGAGAAGGCAGCGGCCGGATCTGCCAATGGAGCAACTTGTGCGGGCGGCTACAGTAATAGTGTAAGTCCACCTTGACATTTTCCTGTAACAGACGTGCGAGCTGATCCCGGCAGACAATCACATCGGTCCGCTATACTATTGCACCGTTCCGTTGCATTGGCATCACAGTTTTTATCACACCTCTTAATATTTTGCACCAGACCGGCGTAGGCTTTCCTGAATAAGTCCGGGAAGCAATTGTACATGGATTCAAAAGGGATGCCGGTGTTGCCGCTGACCATTTGGTGGCTGGTGTTCTGCTGCTGCGGATCCACGGTAACGCCGCTGTTGGCTTGGCCGGTGATGGAGATACTGATTAGCAAAATGAGATAAACACTCCGTTGCATCTTCAGTTCTTTGTGTGCGCACACGTGGAAGTCTGGTACCGTAAAAGCCCTGCGATCAGCAGCTGGACACGTAACAAAATAAACTGTACATCTGTTTTATCCATCTTACGGCATTAGCTTTATACTGCATGCGTTACATGCGGTGAAGCGGAAGTGTTTGGTGCACCAGTATAACAAGAAAAAAACAATCATCGCAGCAGTAAGTGTCTGGTTAAGCACCCTTTATGGGAAGTGCTCTAATCATAAACCGGACTGCCATGTGCCAATGCAATCCATACTTCCTTACTTAATCTGCGAAGTTATGTTTTGAAAAAGTGGTATGAGGGTGCATGGACGCATTGACGCATGGGCACAAAATCATCAGAAAAGAAATTACAGTCCTTAATTTCTTTGGATCCTGAATTTCTATTTCTTCGATTGTTCTCAGTTTAAGAAAAAAGAGCACTCCAAAAGCTTATAAAGTTCTAAAAAAAATAAGTCGCTCAAAAGATGCTCTGCTACCTCCTTGTAATGCTGGTTTCCTTGGAGGATGTAATGCTAATCAAAATTGTTTTGCTGTATTTACGCAAAGTTCTTTTATTGAATGTACAATTTAGTGTATTAGAATTGAATAAAAATCTAATCGGCGCGGGAAACATGCCATCAATAAATTTTGTTTAAGCCAGATCGATTCATCTTTATGTGAGTCGAGTTGCCGCTGGTTTACACGATCCTCGGTTCTTCTCCTTGCTGGCGGCCGCGTGCCTTCCGAACCAGCGACGCTCCTTGCTTCAGTTGATGAAATTCTTCTGCTGCTGGTTGATGTGGGCTATCGCTGGTGGACCGAGGTCTCCACTGAGAAGGAGGAAACTCCCGTGCTACAGCGTTTACAAGAGAACGCTGTTATCGAGTGCAAAACTAGAGGGAATGACAGGGATCTTGAGGCATCTCCACCATCTCGGAGAAGCGCTCACGCTGCATAGAGAAAACACAACAAAACCGCAACTCCTCGAAAGATCACTTTATTTCCTTGAAATAAAGACTAGAAAGATGACAACCAAAACAAATCTAAAGGGAAAAAGGGCATGAAATCAGAGAGCTCAAGAGGAATCGATGTTGTCGATTCCGCTGCTGGCACTCGAATGGCAAAACACGCTTTGGCGTGTGTGCAGGATGGCAAAAATGGCAAGCCGAGCCATGATGGTAAGGCGTCCGTGCCAATATCCTGTGCACTATGCACAACACTCTGACATGCCACGGGACGGGATGCCGAGGCCCCTTGAGGCTCAAAAGCAGGAATGAGAAAAAATGAAAGGATGCATTTTAAATGCAACATAATGAGCAACTCTTATTAAAAAAATGTGCCATTTTATTCCATCACAGTTAGTGAGAACAGAACGCGGCAAAATGCGGCGTAGGTTAATCAAAACGAGTTTATACTCGTAACAAAAACCGGTAAAATTATTCCGGTAAATTTCCATTCCGGTTATATCCAATCCCGCATGTTAATCCTTGTTAATTTTGTAGGTTTCCCTTCCGGAGATTTATCCTCCAATTATACGCATTGCTGCGTCGATCCACGACATCTTTTGCAACTTAGTGCATCTACGGCAATTTTATTCATCTGTTATAATGCAATTAGTGCACTACGGCAATTCTGAAACTGATTTGTGCACTGATTTGTGCGTCTACGGCGGTTCCTTTTTTGATGATTGAAATAAATTCAATCTGGTGCACTCGTCGGGCTTTTTACGGCGATTAAATATCGATATATACGTTGTATACTACGGCGATTTTAATTTTAGCATTTAATGCTTTTACGGCATTTGTACCTGTGGTTCTGCATTCAGCGCATTAAGAGCATCGCTCAGTACGGTGGACGTAGCTTTAACTTCGCCACTATCCTCACACATATCGGCGTCAATTTCGCTCTCAGGGAGGAAAAACAACGGTTCGTTGTCATTTTCCGGTATTTGAACTACACAGATGTCCAATTCGAGAAGGGACCTTTCCCTATCGTTGACGTCCAACAATTCTCGTTGTTTTTCCCGCAAAGCTTGTCGGGAAGGGAAGAGAAAATTATTCTCCAGCGACGGCTTCTCGTCCGTCTCCATCACAGCTTTTTGCTCCGATGTCTCAGGAGTTTCCTGAATTGTCAGTAATTCTACTGACGCGGTCACTTCATTTTGCGGCGTTCCGCTTGTCGGTACAGTAGCAGTAATTGTGTTCACAGGAACAACTGCTGGTGCAGTGATTACTGCATTAATCGGTGCGATTGGTGTAGCATTTGCTGTCTGCGGCGTTTCGTCCGTGTCCATCGACACTATCGGTTTCTTCAGTCCAGGTTGGACTGTTTTGCTGGTTAACGGAATGTCGGGGGAATTTGGAGCGACTTTGCGCTTTCCCTGACTCTGACGTTCGGCGAATCTTTTAACGAGATCATAGATCCCGTCGTAATGTCCATTACGGATTGATTCGGTCTTCAGTCCATCGACTTGCATAACACTCAAAATATCATTTAGGACTTTCGCTTGTTGTTCCTCATTAAGAGGCTCTCCCATACGATTAACGTAACCTTTTAATCGACGATTCTGCTCAGCTTGCCGGTATGTCCGGGCATAATGATGAGCATGGCAATTGCCCATAAGCGCGGATAGGATGACCAGAATATACTTCTTAAGTCCCCATCCGATTGCAATCGTATCCCATGTAATTTTCATGGGAGCTATCTTACGCTGCATAGCGCAAGCGGCACGGCAGAAAAACCAGAACTTTGCTGGATCCGTGTCCGGTAGTATAAATTGAAGGAGGCATTCCTCCGGCTCTTCAGTAAATAAAATTTTAAATTGGGAAATTAATTCCCAGTCCACAACGGTGATTTCGATAAGTTTCTCTTTAAGCTGGGAAATATCCAGCGCGCTTCGAAGTCCGTATCGGCGCGGCGTTTCATATCGCCGTACTTCCATTTGTCGAAATAAATCGATCTTGTACATATTGATCGAATTCTTAATGCGTAGATCATACCCAATGGTATGTAACAAGTCCAACGTGTCAGTTATGGCTTTGCCAATTTCGGTTCTCTGATCGGCATTAACTGTGCCAACTACTGACACGACACGATCAACATATTGATCGAGGTCTCGACGAATAACGTCGATATCACGGCGGATGTACTGTGGATGCGTCTGTCGTTCAGGCATCAATAATACAGACGCATCTGGTTGATATTTAACCGGTTCACCGCGCGTTGCGCGGACATTCCAGTTCGGCGTTTTCTTTCTCTGAAATTTAACAGCTGCATTCAGCTTACCGGGCATAATATCGCCTTCCACAAACGAGTTATCTGGGGTTTTCCCCACATTCGGTAAGTTATAAGTAATTTTCTGTCGAGTTTTACCACTAGCATTGCTAGTGTTGCTAGAATAACTAGCGCCTGAGTTCGGCTCAGATTCGAAAACTGGTTCACTTACAGACGCAGGCTGCACTCGCAGCAACTCTAAAGGCGGTTGTTGATTCACTGGCGGTTTTCTGGTCAGTGGCGGAAGATTCGCTAACAACGGATTAGCTTGCCGTTGTTGTGGCTCTTTCGGTGCTGTTCCAGCCGGCCATGGACACGGTGTTATGGTTTTGGTCTCCGGATCGTATTGATAGCTTCCGCTGGGAAGACTCTGCTGCAAATGAGCAATATGCTCCGGTGGCAAAGCACCCGGCGGTACTTGTAATGCCATATTCGTATACCGAACTGGCTGTTGCTGCTGATATCCCATTGATGGCAGACTTTGCTGCTGGTATGGCTGCTGTGATGAAAACATAACTGGCGGCTGCCATTGGCCATATGCTGGCTGCTGGGACGGCATTTGCTGTCCGCCGACATTCGTCGGATAATTCTGCAAATTATGGGAATTATCCCTGCCCGGCAAGTACTGAATATCTTGATTCAAGGGAAATATCTCAAAATTTCCACAATTGCTGATTACAGGTAAATTCACCTGATTCGGTGGCGCAGTTACGCGCTTCATCAAATCCACTGTGCATCGCCCGAAATTTTCCGGGTGAATCGCATAGGACCACTCATCGGTGCCCTCGCCGATAAACTGCACCGCGCTGTCAAAAACGCCACGATAATAATACGGCGTGGCGCAGACTATTGTCCAGTATTCTGGCAATGTGATAGTGCGGTAGGCATCCAAGCTGCGTAGCAGCACTTCGTCATACAGACGAGATACGGTAACCTGCGGATTTTCCGATCGGAAATTCGGCCCCAGTGTGCATTCCACACATTTCCGATTATTAGTGTTATGTTGGCATCGCCTGCAGGAGCGCATTGGCGCATAGGCGTACGGTAATTCCTCCATTCCTTCTGCAAATAATTTAAATTAATTAAATTATTCTGCAACTACGGCATTTATCTTATTGCATATTATATGCATTCACCACCTCGGAGATATTGCTTTTAATTATCTTCCTCGCTAACGTGATCTAACACTACGGATAAAACCATCCCGCGGTGTGGGTCATTCAATCCGATAATTCTCAGATCAGTAATTAAGCGACTTATCGCTAAAGTTACGGCATCGTCTACTTGGTCGGCTATTGCCGGGCATACAGTTGAAATATACTGTATGATTTCGTCAGGCGACGATCCTGATGGATCACCAATTTCCGCAATCGTTTTTATAACGATTTCATCCCACTGGGGGACTTTCTCGAACTGCACTCGTTGCAGAAAGGACAGTCCTTTACGACCAAAATAATAGGACGGCGAAGTTTCGCCATTATAGCGACGGGTTATTTGTGAGGCTTCGTACATCGCACGAATCATAGATTGCACGGCGTACGGTTGATAAGTGCCAAAATACTCACTTATCCGCTGTGCTGTGGGGTTTTCCCCTCTCTGTTCAATTTTATATATGGCGATTGCCAAATCATTACGCGAGGGTTGTGCCAACAAGGTTTTTTGTTCATCCAAAGCTATGGGCCTTTGCCCGAATGGAACACGCTTCGCGGGTGAATACGGTACTTCTTCTACATGTTGGCCGGTTAACTCGGTGATCCGTTTACGGTTGGTTTCCGCTAAGGCATATCGCCCACTATTCCCGGCCAGGGCCGCGTCTACGATTATTCCTGTGGCAACTGCCTCATT